ATCCATTTCAGTATAGCCCCGAACGGTCTGCCTCTCTGGCCTATTTTATAAGCCAGAGAGGTAGGCCGTTTGGCATACTGAACTAAGTAGCTCCGTATGTGCGTTCGTGTACGTGTGCGTTCTTCCATTTTCTTCGCCCACCGCTGCGAGCCGTATGTCCCGCCTATCGCATCGCGCGTTCTAATTTGTCCAACTATTTTAATTAATATCTCGAAATTTTACGTGGTTGCTTGAAAAATAATCTATACAATTTTTGTTTACTTTTATGTATTCTACTTATATTTTTCTTTTGGTCCATCTTACGCGGGACACCCTGTATATATATATATATATATATATATATATATATATATATATATGTGTGTGTGTGTGTTGTGTGTATATGTACATTCTGAGAATATCGGAATATTCTAAAAATATTTCTTACACAATTCATAGTTCTACAAAATATTAACCGTAATTCGTTTTTTACATTTTAGACGTAATTTACATAATCTATGTGCAATATCCTCAGAATATACTTTGCATATTGCATATATATACGAACTTTCAGGATATATTTCATAATATATGGAGAATCTACGCACGCAAAATATGATATTCTGTGTGCGATATCCTGAGAATATTTTTAGAATATACGAAATGTTCGTATCCAGTATATACTGCTTACGATATCTTCGATATATTCTCAGAATGTTACGCATACATATGGGAAATTCCGTATAAATTCAGAATATACGGAGAATATCATGTGCTATCTGGGAAGAATTTAAAACAGCTAACCTGAATATAATTTGTTTACATCTGATGATAAAACTTTACTGGATCTATCATAAAGCAATTAAAGAGTTTCTTGACAAAAACTTTGAAAATTATTAGATAGATCGATTCTGAAAATCATAACTATCTTTATGTTCATTAAAATTGACACTTGTAAAATTTTGTTTATGGTGAAAATTGTAATGTACAATTTAATAATAATGTACAATGAAGACATAAAAGAGTATATAAAAAGTTCTTGCTTTACAATATATCCAAATAAAATTTAAACATATAATACTTGAATTGCTTTAAAACACACATTAATCTTCAAAATCATCATTTCAAACAATAGCAGTATATATGTTAACAATTATATTACTGAATTGTTTGATTTGTTTACTAAAATAAACTTTGAGTTCACTTACAACAATCTTAAACTATAGATTACTTTATGCATTTTAAAAAACGTACTAAAGTCAAATAAAAAAAATATATATACCATTACATTTAAAACAACGAAATTGTCCTATATATGTCTTTTATGCTTCTATCTTCACAAGAACTATTGAAATAAAATGTCATTCTAGAAGTCAAGTAATATTTGCTGAAGCTATATTTTCTATCATAAAAAAATTAATTATTTAATGACCCAACAAACACAGAATATAACTATTGTGTATCATAGAAGTAACACATAATATAACGGACGTTATACGTTATTAATGTTAAAGTTACATAATTTTTTTTTATAACTGCAATCTAACTGTGTTTTAGAATTGTTATAATTCTTTGTTATTTACAAGTTATAATTGTATAACACCAACATAATTAAAATATAACTTTATATAGATTACATAACAAGCGTTTATTTGCATTACATCTATGTTATATAGTATTCTTATATCTAGATATCGGATTATTCGCTAAATTGCTTCCGTTTTCTCGCGTCTTTCTCGTACGTGAAATATGATGCATTAATATATGTAAGAACGATGCTTATAAGACGGCACAACTTGTACTATGAAGTCCACTTTTATAGTAAGTGGTACAATCCTTGATCAATCGAGATCACTGTTACAATAGTAATCCCTTACATTTGGATATGTACAGAGAGATGAAAACAAATAAATAAAAATAACTCTAATAGCATAAAATACCTGAGGACATGCTGAGATACTAGACATAAACACTCACATACACTCACATACACTCACATACACACGTACACACGTATGTACACGTATCTAAATCGGTTCAAAGATCTATCTATAAATATGATTCTAATTGTTATTACTTCCTTTACACAATTTCTCTTTCCCTTACATTTTTTCTAAAATTATTTATTTTTCGTGAAAAATTGAAGAATTGTGCAAGTTTAGACTTTGTAATTTAAAATTAAAGAAAAAAAGACATGTTAATCTCTTTAAGAATGTTAATCTCATGTTAAGAAAATATCCCACGTAGAAATGTTAAAGCGGTCCAACATTGGGACAGTACCGATTGCCGTTGTACCCGTACTGGCCGCCAGTGTTGTGCCAGTATAGATTCAATATAGGAGTGTAACACCTTGCCGTACTGGTTAAACACTGACACCAGCACTGACATCAACATTGATGCCAACGTCGCACCAATGTTGGGTATATAACTGGTCTGCTGTCTGCACTGTAAAAAGAAGTGTGTTGCATTAACACATTTTACGTGTGTAATCCCTACAGTCACTTTTGACACGCCTGCAGGTGTATAAATATGCAATACAGAAGAAAGTGTGTAAATTTGCAAGAAACGTGTAAATATAACACACAAATATGTATTCTATAGACATGATTCGTGTTATGCTAGCTGAATGCATATAATATGTGTACGACTTATATATGTGTTGTATTAGGACGTATTAAAGGTAGCGATGGGAAATGCCGTGGCAGTGGGACCTGCGTCTTCTTTTCATTCCGGAGAGAGAAAAATACCCAAAGCGCGGTTTGTTGCTGCTATGCCAGGACTCGAACCTGGGTCTTTCGCTTGCCGGGTGCTGCAGTGAACCACTGAGCTATTTGACGTTTCATGCTCACGACACTTTTTTTCCCATATAACTTCGTAGACATTACATAAACTGGTTAGATACTAAAAATATGATAAATAATAAATGGTGTAATAATAATAAAATAATATAATAATAATACAATAATAAATAATAAATTATACTATTTTATCACCTGTATAATAGCCAATGTTTTCTGCAGACTAAATGCAAAAATATTTGTCAGTGACAACTGCATTCATCACATCATTAATATTATCCACATATTTTCTTGTTCATTCTTTTTGAATAATGTGAGGTTTTATGTGTAATTCCTGTAAGTGTGTAACTCTAGTAATATGTTGTTTTTTCCAAATTATTGTTATTCTGCGATTCATGCATTACATTTATATACATTATATGCATTCAATTTACTGAATTATGGTCTTAACATACATGAAGTGTGTTATCCACTGTGTTATCCACTATAACACAGAATTCGTGTATAGATCAGTATACTTTGTGTGTCGTTTCAATATATTTACAACCGCAGCTGTGTTGTTTAAACGCATAAGCACATCAAATTAGTGAATTGTGTGTTGTTTTAACACACCTGATAACACGCCTGTTTTTACATTGTGCATGGAAAAAAAAGTTTGGTCGAATTAACCAAATATCTGGTCGAATATGAACGATCCAGATATTCCGATTGAAGTAACCCGAATTCTGCTTAAGTTAACAAGATTTTTGGTTGACTTAAACAGAATTCGAGTTACTTCAATCGGAATTTCTGGATCGTTCATATTCGACCAGATATTTGGTTAATTAACCAAACCTTTTTTTCCGTGTGGGAGACGATTTTACCGATACAGTTAGCATGGGTTATATTTATCCTAATATGATTAGTTGCGCTGTATGTGTGTACGTGCATATATGTATGATAATAAAATATATTTGATACACATATTAAATACTCCGAATAATTTTTATTAAAACTCTAAAATATTCATAGCCACAAATTGGATTATAACATGGAACATAATCTAATATATGTATGTGTGTGTATGTCTATGGCTGTGTATTTTAAAGTTTGAATAAAAATTATTCAGAATATTTATACAGAATGGCCCACGTAAAGTATTACAAGCTAATAACTTTAAACAAGTAAACTTTGTCTGAAATATTTCTTTGGAAAATGCTCCTATCAAAAGTTATAAACATTTAAACTTTAATGTAGAGTGCATTGAAATTAATGATAAATTAAATAAGGTTTTGCTTTTCGTCTTTTAATTGCACTTAATTGACCATGTACACGTAAACGATTTTCTAAACGAAGAAATGCCATATGCGATTTTTGAATATTATAACGTTCTACAAATAATTGCGCTGCACGTCGATAATTTTTCTCACATTCTCCTAGAATTAACAAGATATTAACTTCCACGTCAAAACTAATCATGATTTTCGAACTTGATAGCATCAAAACTAGCTCTAAATCAAAACTAACTAAATACATAGATCTGTTTCCCGATAAATGTGTGTATTTATGTTTCTTTTGGTTAATATCAAGTATGTACTCTAAGCTCGTTTTCGTTATATCGCGAACACAACTTTGTGTCAATAGAGTTCATCGTAAATAAAATGGCTAAAAGTTTATATGTTTATAACTTTTGATAGAAACATTTTCCAAAAAAATGTTTCAGACAAAGTTTACTTGTGTTTTTTTCTGTAGAATCCAAATATGTAACATTGTATAGGAAGTTCCTTTTGAAACTTTGAAGTTACCCTCCGCCCCTCTTCAAGGGGGACGGAAGTGGATGTTTACGTAGTTAGAAAGGCCCCTCGAATATATGAAACTTTCTCATAAACAACTTTTTGATAGGACAAATATGTTTAGAGTATTAGCTTGTAACGCTTTACGTAGGCCACTCTGTATATTAAATATTTATATTATTACATACACACATATACATATACGCACGTACGGCACGTACGTGTCACGCACGTTTCTAAAATATATAGAATAAAATTAATGTGTAAAATTTAAAAACATCTATAAAAGGAAAAACTGTGTGTGTACTAAAATAAAATAATAATAATTTATTATCAGAAACTGTACTATTTTGTAATTTTTATATACAGAATATCTGATTTCAAAAGTGTGAGTTCCAAGTGTGGGTCCAAAGTGTAATATACTTGTAGATAAGTCATTCTAAATAAGAAAATTTTGTACTATTTCGTAATCACGCAATCTTGTAAAACTTGGAATTATTACCCAATAAGTATCAACTAACAATAATATAACATTAATATGTTATAATTTCCCACTTAACAATATAAATACGATATAATGCGTGTGTTATGTAACAATTACACTGAGTGGGAAATTATAATATTGATGTTATGTTACTATTAGTCGGTGTTTATAGGATAATTAAAGAAGATAATCATATATAGAGGCTTCTTTAATTATTAATAAAAAAATGTTTGTAATTGTTTGCAAAATGGTACAGGACTTTCTGTTCAGAATGACATTATTATTATATTGACTAATCTACAGGTATATGGCATCTATAGTACTTAGCAAAAGACATTTTGTATACATTCTGTGTTTTGAACCTTAACTCTGTCGTTGATTACGAGTATATCCATCAAACTTATACATTATATCAGGCCTCAGCACATTTTGCCCTTTTCGGTCGATTCTCGGGAGCTACGCCTTTTATCTCTCCCTTGCCGCGCGGCGGGCCAAGCAAGCGACGGTCGCGGCCAATCGCGGCTCCAAGCTTAGAGGCACAATCGTCACTTTTTAGGCCCGCCACGCGACAAGGGGGAGATAGAAGCTCCCGAGAATCGGCCGAAAAAGGTAAAATTTTTAAGTTATTGATTAAAGAAGTCTATATATATAAATTATTAAATAAAAAAATTATATATATATATATATATAAACCATGCAAGTTTTGGAATTAATGATTAAAT